GCCGGATCGGCGGGTAGTGATCGATCTATCAGGGATCGATTTATCGTGTGTAGTGTAGACGTGATAAATCGATCCCCGATCACTCTCCTGTCGACTACTGAACTTCAGCTCAGCGAGAGGTAGAAGCAAAGTCGACGGGGAAGCCGCGGCAATCAACCCCGCGGCATGAGGACATGAGGTAAGTCGAACTAAGATACATCGACTTCAGCTACGCTATTCTCGTAGCTGAAGTTGCATATCTTAGATCGATCCCCCGCACCCCACTCAGTGTAGACCAGGCCCAAGAAATGAAGCACAGTGGTCCTAGAAAAAACAACCTCCTTTACTAAATACAATGCTGATTCATCCCCAGAGCAGGCCTACCCTGTGCACTGAATGAGGCAGGGAACCCGTGGAAAAAATGCTATGTGATAATGTAATTTAAAGACTGTAACCTAATGTATATGCACAAGGGGGCTGAATTAGGGTTGCACCAGGCAACTTTAATTTTGGCATTTCCTGACTTCGCAATCTTAATAAATGTTCTTTTAGCATAGTGTGTGTGTAATATGTATGTGGATAAAAAGTTTAGGAGATGATTTCCTACATTTAATTTCTATTAATTTACAGAAAATTTACGATCTCCTTTTCAAAAATGCATGTAATGCAGAAAAGGTAAAAGCAATGAATACACACTCTGCAGATAGGCCAGCACAGTACTTCTCCATCCCCTCAACTGCATACCACTGAGAAGCTATGACATTTTTAGCAGTATAAGTGCTATGACATTTTTGATGGGGTTCCATAACCCCATGGCTTTGCCCTTCTGGAGAGACCTCTGAGTCACCCCTCTCCCAAGAGGGCTGTGACAGATGGATCTCTCTGGACACTGAATTTATAACTCAGTCAGTATGTAATTCTGGTATGGACTAAGGCACAGTGAGGATCCTGGACTAACAGCTCCACAGGGCAATTGGAGACACAATGGATAGATGGAATTCTGGACAGGTAGGAATTAAGAAATTAAGTGAAACGAGACGTCAGGGATTCAAGAGGCAGCTTTCAGTGTAGAAAAAGGGGAGGAGGTTCAAAGGGAAGTTACACAGCTGAAGAGCTGGGGAGAAGGATGAGTCATTCAATCCTAGTTTTGGGCACAGGAAGTCAGGGGCCCTAGTGGGAAGCCTTTGACAGGATGGAGGCCATGGCTCTTCCAGGGAGTGACTTCCCAGAACAGGAGAGGAACACAGACACACTGTGGATTCCTGACGTGGGACACTGAGCCTGGTCTACACTGGGGGAGGGAGGGGGGTCGATGTAAGATACGCAACTTCAGCTCCGGGAATAGTGTAGCTGAAGTCAACGTATTTTATTTCGACTTACCTCCCATCCTCACGGCGCGGGATCGACGGCCACAGCTCCCCCATCGACTCCGCTACCGCCGCTCGCCCTGGTGGAGTTCCGGAGTCGATGGGAGCGCGTTTGGGGATCAATTTATCCCTGCTGCTGGCTGAGTGAATGGAACCCCAGGCCGGCAGCGGGCTCAGCGGTGGCCGGGACCCGCAGCCTGCCATTAAAAAAAAAAAATTGGCTTGCGTGCAGTAGGTTGAGGACCCCTGTTCTAGTGTATACAGTGTATACTGTGTGTACTGTACTTTATGGTAATTTTCACTATACGCAATTTTCCTTTTACACGCTGACCTTAGAACCTAACCTCCGCGTAAGATGTGACTCCACTGTAGTGTAAAAAAAATTTTTGGACACCGCTTTTTGGCACCCCCAAAGCTTGGCGCCCTAGGTGGCCACCTAGTTTGCCTAGTAGTTACACTGGCCCTGAGAGTAAGGGTGTACAGAGTAGAATCCTAGAGATCTGGGGACCCTTCATGCTATAAATTCAACCTTGACATGCTGGAAATAGGGAGGAGGAAAGTCCAACCCTGGGGGGGTAACAAGGGAGTTGAAGGCACGCAGCACTTTGCTGAATTGGGCCCTTGGTTTGCTACTGCTATCCCCAGACACAGGACCCTTGTATCTTGTGCTGCCGCCCCAGAACATGTGGACTGTGAGCAGATTTTAATTTGGGCCAGCAATAGGAGTGAGAGATTTATTTTCTCATTCCGCTATCTGCACACTTGTACAACTGGACTGTTGTAGCACGCTTCTCTCCAAAACTGGTATTGGGGGCATAGTGCTGTGGCTCCAATGAGCTTGAAACTGAGGAATGCCTGCTGTCCTTAAAGACCCCCATAGCAACACAGTATTTCTCTCCAGAGTAGAGGTATCTGGTATCTTGGCTGCATCCAAAATTGGGGTATTACTACCAGACATTCTGTGCTCTGCATTTTGTACTTTGTTTCCTAAAGCATTGTGTGGCGTTGCTGTTAAACAGCTGCTGTGTTCCACCCCATAAGTGGCTGAAGATAGACACACATCACATCAGCCACGCCATCAGGGGCTCGTTCACCTGCGCATCTACCAATGTGATATATGCCATCATGTGCCAGCAATGCCCCTCTGCCATGTACATTGGCTAAACTGGACAGTCTCTACACAAAAGAATAAATGGACACAAATCTGACATCAGGAATCATAACATTCAAAAACCAGTAGGAGAACACTTCAACCTGTCTGGTCACTCAGTAACAGACTTGAGGGTGGCAATTTTGCAACAGAAAAGCTTCAAAAACAGACTCCAACGAGAAACTGCTGAGCTGGAATTGATATGCAAACTAGATACAATCATCTTAGGCTTGAATAGAGACTGGGAATGGCTGAGCCATTACAAACATTGAATCTATCTCCCCTTGTAAGTATTCTCACACTTCTTATCAAACTGTCTGTACTGGGCTATCTTGATTATCACTTCAAAAGCTTTTTCTCTTACTTAATTAGCTTCTCAGAGTTGGTAAGACAACTCCCACCTTTTCATGCTCTCTGTATCTGTATATATATCTCCTCAATATATGTTCCATTCTATGCATCCGAAGAAGTGGGCTGTAGCCCATGAAAGCTTATGCTCAAATAAATGTGTTAGTTTCTAAGGGTACGTCTATACTTACCTCGGGGTTCGGCGGTAAGCAATCGATCTTCTGGGATCGATTTATCGCATCTTGTCTAGATGCGATAAATTGATCCCGGAAGTGCTCGCCGTCGACACCGGTACTCCTGCTCCGCTACAGGAGTATGCGGAGTCGATGGGGGAGCCTGCCTGCCGCATGTGGACCCGCGGTAAGTACCTTGTAGTTCGAACTAAGATACTTCGACTTCAGCTACGTTATTCACATAGCTGAAGTTGCGTATCTTAGTTCGAACTGGGGGATTAGTGTGGACCAGCCCTAAGGTGCCACAAGTACACCTGTTCTTTTTGCGGATACAGACTAACACGGCTGCTACTCTGAAACCATATACAGCACTGGCACCTCTGTTAAAGAAACGCCTAATAGGAAAGTAAAATATTGCTCAACGTTAGCAAAGAACTTTAAAAAAACCAGGTGATTAAAAAGTACTCTTCAAACACACATCAAGAGCCTATAGCAGCAAGCCAGTTCCTTCAGACACAGAAGACGCTGCTAAAAGAGAAGTTAGATGTCAAGCCCAGCTTTGTTTTGCTTTTCTTGACTTAATTTCAGAAGTTTTAGCATTGTGGTGAGCTACAATGAAATCCTTGCTAACCCCTTTGAACACTGGTTCTTGCTCAGGCAGAAGCGTAGAACCTTGGAGCATACACTCCAAGCGGGTAGTCCTCACTAAGGAACCAAAAATGCAGGCATGCATCCAATCAGCTCTTAGCCATTCTCATCAATCCATCATTTTTGTAACCTCAGGAGCTCTTAGCAACTGCCCTGCCCGCACAGTCTCTAGCTATCCCCCTCCCTACACCCTGAGCTATCCCCTCCCTGTACCCTGAGCTACCCCGTGCCTGCACACAGCCCCTAGTTACTCCTTCCCTGCACCCTAAGCTATTTTCAAGCTTTTTGCACTGAGCTGATAATTTTTGTTTGCAACCCCCCCACAACCCAGACAGGCTGGGTGGTCTGCTGAGGTGAGTCAGGGGGTGGAAGTGTCACTCTCTCCTTGGACCCTGCCGTGTGCTCAAGCCCCGCTGGCCCCTGCCCTCCCCCCAAATAGAAGTCAAACTATGCCTATGCCCAATGTCCCTGCCCCGAGGCCCCCCACACCCACTGGGCCCTGGAGTTTTTATAGTATGTTGGGAGGGGGACGGGGGCTGAGAAAGAAAAGAAAATCCCATCTTGGAGCATAGGGATTCCCCTCCCCAATGAGCCATAAAAAATCCTGTCTCCGGCTCTAAATGGAACTCTCAATATGGTTATAACAACTCAGCCACACTAAAGTAATGCTTAGGTTTGTCAGGACCAGCTCAGTTCTGCAACCTAAACATTGGCTACTCAGATGTGCTGAAGCAGATAGCATGAGTAGAGAAGATGGTACAAGTAAAACTTGTATTTTAACTACCATTGATGGCAACGTCTCACGCCTTCACAGAGTCTTTGATGCCTGCTGTATTAAATTCCTTTCCTGAAATAGGCCGTGCAGGCATTTTGGTACAGGACTGAACACACGGGGCATAATGCAAGATTTCTGACTGATTGAATACAACATTCATGACAACCGATCAGTGGATATGATAGACAGCTAGGCTTTTAAAATGCCAACCGTGCCTGCTCAGCTGCCTGAGTGCTGAGTACCATTCAGCTGATCAGAGATGAGTCACTGGCCTAGTAAACCATCATCAATAAGCAGGAGGGACGCCTGTCTGAGTATTGTTTGAACGTGATAAAAATAACTCAAGATGCTAAAAATCTGAGAATAACTAACTTTACTGCAATGAATTTTTAATGAATGTGCCTATATTCCCAGTAAGGGTCCATGAAAAATCCCACCCCCTTTGATAGCCTTTAACACATTATATAGCAATGCCTGGGTCAGAGAGCTCTGCTCAGCTGTGCTCTGGCTGCTGGGTGACATCACGTAATAAGAAGAGTACTTTTAAACTGAACACTTACACCAGATGTTTTGGATTTGCAGATCTCCTGCCTGTCTTTTAACATCTTGTCAAGGACTCCGCTCCTGCCCCAGACATTAAATACTGTCTTCCCATGCTGATATCCCACTTCCTGGAAAGAGACAATCAGAAATAAAAACTCATCATCAATAACAACTGGACAACACCATGCTTCATGCCACCTCCTCTACCAACCAGAGTGCTAAGCACAGCTTTACCCTCTGGGCCCGGGATTTAGAATACAGTATCTACTGCTTCAGCTCTGAGTTACTCCGAACACTCAGCCTATGAAATGGGGAGCCATTAACTGTAGCAAGGTGCTATTTTACATCAACAAGCTCACGTGACCTTTGGTCACTTGTTACAATCATCTTTCTGGAACGGCTTTGTGCAGTACTGCACATCAGACAGTGCTGCATATAAGGAGACACCAACGAAACATCTCTTTATGGGAAAAGACAACAGCAAAGCCAATTAATATGGGACTCCTCTGCTGGGCCAGGTCTGACACAGGAATTACTATCGGCACTGCTGTCAAATGACCTGTACACGTGACTCATGAATACACACAAGCTGACCAGCACGTAGGGGCTCTTGCTTTTACATGTAAATTTCAGGTTCTGTTAGAGGTGATATGAGCAACTACTGCTAAAGTGCCTGGGGGAGTTTGAATGCGAATACCCCATTTTCCAGCCCTTTAAAACTCTTATTTGCAGTGGGAATGTCAACTTGGCACCCATACTGTCTGCATGAAAGCAATTAAAAATAGCTCCTGTCTTAGGGAATGTCTACACTGCCAAAGTTAGAGTGCCGCTCAGAGAGCGCTGAAGGAAAACTGCTGTTGTGTGTTCACACTGACAGCTGCCTGCGCAATAGCGTGTTCACACTTGTGGTGCTATTAGGAGGGGCACACTCTAGGCTGCTATCCCACAGAGCATCTCTTCCTCTTCTGATGCTAAGACTTGTGTGAAGGCGGAAGCGCTTGCGGGGCATCCTGGGTCCTGTCCCAATGCCCCGTGATGCATTGCTTCGCATCCCAGCAATCCCTGTGCTTCCGTCCGCATTTGGAGCCATCTTTCAATGGTTTGTGTACTGTGCGCCTTGCCCTGCTTCTTTCGGGCTGCAGGAATGGATCCCACACTGTTGATCAATTTGCTGCTCGCACTGACCAACACGTCATGAGTGGCAGTGGAATTATTCCTTAAACTACAAAGGCAAGAGGGGTCTGGAGCACATGACTTATGAGGAGAGGCTGAGGGAACTGGGATTGTTTAGTCTCCA